ATAATATTATTTTCCACCATAAAATGTTGAATAAATTTGTTTGATAAATATTATATAAAATGGAAAAAAGTTTGCGTATAGGAAAATTTTATGCGTAAACTAATATTTTCATCCCTGCAGGCTAGCATTGACATTTTGACATTGATTTGTTTTGTTTCTGTAACACAGCTGACAGAATGAAATCTTTGTTATGCCAAGGCAGACAAATTTTTAAAATATAAAAACTTACGAGTTTTTAAAATATTAATATTATTGCATAATGAAGAAGGAAAACTTGATAGGATTTATTAAAACGAACAATTTTATTTATAACATACATACATTATACAGATTCAGAAACCTTTCCTGTAATACGTAAATGTAAATATTTAGACAGAAATTTCATGATTTTACCGATGAACGAAAGATAGGTATCCCATATTTTAGAGATTAATTAAATTTGAATTTAAACAATAAGATTGAAACACAAGAGGAAAACATTATCAAACAAGGTCTATAAAAAAATATGTGAGATTATTGTCTCACTAAGGCATGAAAATATCTAAAAGGAATTAATCGAGTGAAATGCTGGATGTTCTTAAAAAATACTCAAAAAAGATATGATAAAGTGTAAGTAACAATCAAATTTTCAAAATCCTCTATTGAATAAAATTTATCTGCAATAAGTGTAAAAGTAATACTGGAAAAATTTATGCAAACCAGGTTATTTAATAGAAAGCTGTATTTGTTCCTATGGAAATAAATTTATAAAATATATCAAATTGAAGCTTTCCTACGTTGGGTTAATAAAAATTAGCATTAATCAATGAACCTTAGAGAATAGGATTTTCAGCTGACCGGTTAATAAAGCCAATTATGAATTTCGATTTGAATTAAGTCGACATAGCATGTTATATTAATTGTAAATTTCCAATATATTTTTGCGAATGCCGATTTTAATATAATTTTCAATTTTAAGACAAGTTTAGGAACCACTAATATAATATGACATTTTATCTTTGATCCCTCCCTTTGATATTAATTTCAACTTTTGTTTTGGTTCATCATTTTGTGTTTACTAACTTAGTTTGAAAGTCAAAATGATTCAATATCTGATTCTAGGTCACGATTTTCCATATTTTGATAAGGACAATAAACTACAAATCAAATCGACTATTTTTAAAAATTAAAACACAATTTCATTTTATTTTCAGTTTGTTTCTTTTTTTCTTGTTTTTATATTAAAAAACATATACTTATAATTAGTTTTAGAAATAAAAATTAATTTTAATAATTATCATATATTTCTAATTATAATTTGAATTGTTTTTATAATTTATATGTTTGCATTTATACATATATATCGTATGTATAAATTACAGATTATTTGATAATATCACTTATAAAACTTATCATTTCAAAAGAGTAGAAAGGAAATCATAATATTACAAAGTTAAAAAGTTTTATTATTTTATCAACATAAATTGTAAGCATTTTTTCATTAAATTTAATTGTAATTTACATAAACCCCTGAATCTATTATCTAGACTTTCATCTCCACTACGATTTAAGTCGCACCAATTTCTTTATATCATTGATCTATGATCTTGATTTTTATTTATCATTTAACATATTGTATGTCAGGCTAATTTCTATTGTGTCAAGATATTAATTTTAGTATCTATACACATTCTAAGTCTCAAAAAGAAATCTCTCAAAGATGATATAGTATTAAAATAAAAGATACAACCGGCGGAAAATTTATTTAAAATATATTAAATGGATTTTAAAAATTTATCAAGAAGTTCTTGAGGTTTTTCTTTCTATTGTTTTTGTATTATGTTTAGTTATTGTAATGGTACATAAATACATGCATAACTGATATTAATTCATTTTATCTTAATAACTTATGTATCTTTATGATTTTACATTATAATTTTTTGTTTGCAATATTTTGGTCAAAAATTATTTTTTGAAAATAATTAAACATATTTGTTTTATTTTTTTGTGGGTTGTAAACAATTTTTGAATGTAAAAACGTTTACAAAAAACATCAAATTGTACAATTCATGAAACCAATTTGCAATTAAAAATTTTATAAAATAAATTATAACAAATTTGAATTATTCAATCTACTATAATAATTAAATTGTTTTTTTTTTTTTTTAAATTGATTATTTTTAGTAGGTAGAAAGAGAAAGAAAATGTGAAATTTGTCTTTTCGAGCTAAAACTATTGGAAGAAAGTTTAAAATTAAATAATTATCAATATTAATTTTTCAAACTGATTTATATTTAAGAAATCGATTTAGATTTTTTAAATAGCAAGCTCTAAATATATGTAAATGTTTGATTTAATTTTCTACTACATTAATTCATTTAACTCCATCAATGTTTAATAGAGGCTTTATAAACAAAAATAATATATAATATGCATTCATGTAATACATATAAGTGAAAGTAATTAAAAATGTTACCGAATCGTTAAATAGTTTCATTCGAATGTTAAGCTCTGGTTTCAATAATTATGTAACGCAAAATATCAGTTGTTGCAAATACCAAAAATAATCAATTTCAAAAATAGCTAAATTTTTTCCCGAATTATCTTTATACTTTTTTTTTGTAAATTTTTATTTATATATTTAATTTATTTACTTGATTCTAATCAAATCACCTTTTTATTAAAAATGTTTTTTTTTATTTTAATATAACCATATGTATGTATATTTAATTATATTAACCTAAAAAAATGCTTTGCTTAAATTTTTAAGCTTTTAATAATTGTTTTTATGTTTAGAAAATACTCTTAATATTTAATTTTAAGTTATGGTTTAATTTTTTTTATAGTGTATTAATTTTTTGTTGCAAATTCGCTGATTATTTTTGTTATAATATCTTTAGCAATCTGTTTTTTTTTTTCAATTTTGTGTTATTTAATGTATAATTAATATTTATTATTTTAGTTATAATGATATTGCGGTGATCTTATATCGCCTAAAATATATGTATGTTATTTATTATTCCATGTATCATATTTTATTATTAGTATTATACTTTATACAGAATTTTCTTTAAATTTATTTTTTTTTATTTAATATTTACAAAACGGGGCTGTTTAAATGTTGCATTTATTAAGTATTTATATTAAAAACATTAATCATATACAAGTTAATACCATAATATTAATTACTACTATAATATAAAACTTATGTAGATGAAAAACAATATCAATATTTATTAAACTTATAGTTTTACATTTTAAACTGAGCATTATATTTATTTAAATGTGACTATTTTAGTAATTTATTTTATGATTATTTTATGAATCATGATTACATACTTATTTTGAGTGTGCGATATATGTACATACTTATACAATAAGCACATAATATATATCCGTATTTTACACGTATGTACACATTTAAAAGCATTCTTAAATCTTAACAAATATTTTATAATTTAAAATTAAATCAATTATTTATAATTTTAAAAAAATCAATAGATGGGGAATAGAAAAATATTTTTGAAGTTTGAATTCTGTCACAAAAATTTTGTTTTTATTAAAAAGTGAGCAACTTTCCTTTCATTTTTAATATTTTACAGTTACTTAATTTATAAATGTAACTTTAGTAATACACACAAATAAAAAATTTGAGTTAAAAAAATAACAACAAGAAATATAACAATTCAACTGATATCGAACAGATTTTAGTAATAATAATGAACACTATTACGGTTGAAGAGCAACAATTGAAAATAAATTAATTTTATCAATTTAGTAATTATGCAAATTATTAATATGCAGATCAAAAAAAATGTTTGCCAATAATAATACATACCGTGTTAATATGATTGACAAACATACAAAATGATTTTATTTAAACGCAATTTCATCCCACAATTTTTAAAAAATTGTGTATTTTCTTTTTATTTTTTGTTCACATATAATTTTTACAGTGGGATTTCATTCACAATTTTGTGTTTTATGTAACACAATCATCAATTTTTTGTCTTGCAAGTTAGATAAATTCAAAAATGGGTGAATGTGAAAATACTTCAAATGTTAAATTGATAAGTTTTTGAGCTTGCTTAATACGTACATAAATGAATAAATTTTCATATTAAATATGAATTAAATATTATGATTGTTTAAAACAAAATTTAAATTCCGTTTGAAAATTGAAACAATTTTTACTTTTGAATTTTTATACAAATATTGCGTTATTATATTGCCCCGTAATGAATTTAGAAAAATTTGTTATACAATTATTTAATAATTATTTACTTTATGCAAACCTAATTACTAATTGCGTGTGTTTTCGGACTTAAAAATTACAGCTATTTATTCACTTGTATATTTTTAATTTATTCAATATTTTATTTTTAACCACTAGTTTTTTTTTTTAATTTTTTACTTTTTTATATTGTTTGCTATTTCATATCAAATATTTCATTTCATTTACAAAACTTATTTGTTTATAACTGTATATATGTATATGTATATTTATATAAATTTTTTTATGAATATTAAAATTTTAATTTTCGTTACAATTCTTTTATATTATTTATTTAAATAATATTAAGTTAATTTCTTTTAAAGTAACATATTTTTAATTTGAAATTAGTCATGTTCTTTATTCACTTTTATTAGCGCTGTAAAATTTAAAATTTCATATTCTTTTACCTACATAGGAAATTAGAAACCGAAATAATAAATCTAAAAAATTAAAAAACTTTGGCTTTGATTTTTAAGAAGTATTGCGTTAAATGTTAAACTAGCACGCTGCACTAGTGAAATTATGAAATGAAGTAAATTTGATAGAGGTGCTATTCTTAAGATATATGTGCGAATTTGTTTATTACAAAAACAAAAACTGTCCCATAACTTTCAGATTTTTTAGTATGAGAAAATTGGAGTTGAAATATTGGATGAATTGATAACGTTAAAGCATTGTGACTAAAAAAATTTAATTATAACGTAATTTGTTATAATTGCTTGATATGTCACAGAAATCAAAGAAAATGCACTAACTAAAAAACAAATGTAATGCGGCTGAAGTAGTCTAATCTACGAATCGATTACAAACATTTCATTTTATAAAATTCATTCTCTAAATACAAGAGCGCAATACTAGCAATGTTCATGATAAACTTATACAATAAAAATTAAAACGATTTCAAATTTGAAAAGAATAAAAGACGATGTTTTCGAGTTAAAAATATGTAGATATACTTTTGTTTTTAATTTATTATACTTTGCTTACATATTTATGCATTAAGTATTATAATTTTTTTTTTTATAATTTTTTATTGTTTTTACTATTTTACTTTTTAACTATTTTTACTTTTCTTTTTAAAAACAATAAAATTTTATTTCGATGGGGTTTTAATATTTAAATTTATTTTAAATTTGTTTGACTTTTGAAAAAAAAATGCAAAAATAAAAATTATTCCGCACTGTTTTTACAAAATTGAAATCTTTGAATGAAATAATTTTTTTCTCTTCCACATTGCTAAATGATATTTTAATTTATGTACAAATCAAATTTATCTTCTTTATTATACTCAAATGCAAGTCTATTGCAGTTAAAATATGTTTGGAAAATAGGAAAAGCTAAATACAACATTCATATTACAATTTACTGCTTACTTCATAGCTTTGCTATGAATAACTTGCTATTATATTTTTTTAATAAAACTTGCTTTCAAATTGACGAATGTGGTACCTAATGTTTATTTTCTTAGTTGATAGCATTATGTTTTTGAACGCTTTTTAGCTTTGAACTACAATAAGTAATTTGAGAAGCAAGCGATTAATATTTAATTAAGCTACTTTTCATTTAAATTAATATTAATCTGTCTAACTCTTATTTTTTTTACTAATTTCTTTAATTTTAACCATATTTTAAAGTAGCTTATTTCAAGCAGGATCGTCTCACTTGATGTACATATATTTTTGACCACAATTAACTGCAATAAATTACTTATATTATAAGACATATAAAATAGTAAGAATACAAAAAAAAAGTAAGGCATAAATTAAATTAAAAGAATCAAATCAAAATTTGTTTTTTAAAGCTAATTCAATTATTTCCACCTTAATTTTTTTAATTAAAAGAAAAACTCAGTCCAAATTTAAAGTTAATCATATAAAATTATAAGTATTAAAAAAATGATCGCTGGTGTGCCAATACAATATCAAAAAAAAACATCGTTTAAAATATTAGTAAATTTGCAACTATAAATATTATACAGTACAAAATAACCAAAATATCAAATAGTTTATTTAAAAATATTAAAAGAATATAAATAAATATTTATACAAAGTTTACACGAAATATTAATTTATAATGAATTCAAAGTAAGTTTAATATTTAAATAAAGATTAATTGTATCTTTCTTTAAGACTATGATTGGTTTTATAAAAACATATCTTTGAAAAGATCGAAATCAAAAGTTATTTACATTTTCTAATTATTATAGCTATGAAGAAAACAATATTTTTAAATTGATTTTTGAAATTGTATTCACAATGGAGAAGAAAATTAAAAATTAACAAAAGAGAAGAAAAAATCACAACAAACGCTGGAATTTTTTTTTCAATTCTAACCATCTAAAATGATCCTTTTTTATCGTTTATCATTTGCTTGTTGTTTTTTTCTTGTTTGTTATAATATTCATTGATTTTTTTTTAATTTTATTTTAACTTTTATATAATATATACGTAAAAAATGATAATTAAAATTAATTTGGTAATATTAATGACAAGATCGTTTAATTTTTTAATTTTATATAATTTTTTTTCTTTTTTTTTCCAAATATTTTTTTATTTCTTTTTTAAATTGTTTTTATTAGATTTTTTTTTGTTTTTAGTTTTATATATTTTATCATATTTTTTTTTTTATAAACTAAAGTCTAAAAAGTTTTACAATTTTCTTTGTTTTTTTTTAATTATTTATTTATTACTATTAATATTAATTTGTAAGTCTAGTTATAATTAATATTACTAGTCACCAGGATGTTCAGGACAACAACGATTTACTTCGAACCATCGGTCTATGCATCTAAAATTATAAAATAAAATTAAATAAATTTATACATAATCTGGTATTTACGTTACAAGAAATTATAATGTTACTTACCCTTTATGGTAAATACAAAGACATGGTAATCGCGCTATAACATCACCAGGATTTAAGTCTTCTAAACAAATGACACATTCGCCTTTAGGATCATTTAAAATATCCTCTGCAAAATAATGAAATGTATATATTACAAAATGTTTTAATAATGTTGAGATTATAATTCTTTCATCTATAACTTAATTATTATATAAATTTTATGTGATAAATTTGTTTTACAAATTTTTAAATGAAAGAAATCGAATCACGTGAAATATTTATTTCCTAATGAATCACAATTAAAATTAATTTTTTTCAAAATTTCGAGAAAATAACTTAATCAATAGCCAGGAATTTTTAGATAAAGAATTCAAAAAACTGAATTTGAAGTCATAAAAGTAAAACCTAAGTAAAATTTATTTCCTATTATTTTGATTTAAATTCTCTTTTTTTAGGGACTTTAACGTGCAAAATTCTAGTTTTCACATTACACAGTTGTACAATTCTTTTAAAATAAAAACTTAATTTTGCATAATAAAAATACATTTTTAAAATGCTTTTTGTAAATGTAGACCTAAAAATTAGAACAAAGTAATAAGGAGGAAACATAACTATAAAAGTGACGTCAAATAGTTAGCAACCAAGACCTGCAAATATACTTGACAAGAATTTTATTTTCCTAAAGATAACCTAGAGCAATTAAACAAAAGAAAGGTTAGATTAGAACTTTTTATTAAAACGCTGATAACATATGGAACATTTTATTTAAAGTTTATAATCAGTCTGTTTACCTTGTAGTGCTGATGATTTATTATTGGCAAGGTGGGATTAGTACAAACAACAAGGAATTTTTTTTGAAATGCTTTTTAATTCTCCAAAAATTCACCTGGTTTGTACTATTAAAGATTGTAAAAATGAAAAATATCTTACGGTGTTCAATTAAAACTTCATTAATAAGTTTAAACAAATATTTACCAATTTTTAATATACCTAACGTATTCTATTCTGGTAACTCCATAGCTTGTATGTGTATTTATGTAGATGTGTAATATTTTATTCAACAATTTATACTTATACGACGTATTAAAAATAAAAACAAATTTTCGGTAATGTAAATATTGAATTTTTTAATTTTCTTATCGTTCATTTTTAAATGCGAACTTTTGAGTTATTTGTGCACATACATACTTATGTGTTTGTAACACAGTCATATACACTAGATAAATGTGTGAATATAATTAGGAATGTATATGTTAGCTTAATCACTATTTATTTTTACAGTTAATATTAACCTATTTCTTTACTCAGTAGATAAACAGATGCGATTTTTTTTCCTTTTTTGTTTTCGCTGCTAAATTTATTTGCTGAGTGATTGTACTAAGATCTTTATAAAAATAAAGAAAAATATAACAATAAAATATCTATTCTATAAATCCCAAGGTCTGCATTTTTATTCTTGGATGAGAACGCAGATAAATGAAGAAAATTGACAAAAGCAAATAATACTTTCGCATGCATTCAACTTTTGAGTACATTAAAATTATTAAGTACAATTATTGGAATTCCGCATTTTCAGTGGGATTTATAATTGCGCGTAATTAAAGTTTTTATTTCATTTTCTAATTTACTTAAATAATATTTGTTAAAACTAAAATATTGTAAAACTGTTGTAATTTTCACAAGACATTTAAGTTTGACGTATACGTACACGGTTCATTAACAGAATGTTTTTTGATACGTGTATAGTCTTAAATAAATACATTTTACAGTATGACTAACTTACCATTGTAAGATAAACGAGGTTTTGTTAGGCACATAACTAAATGACACTCGATGTCGTCTGGTAATACGAATTTACTGCAGACTGGGCATTTAATACCTGTAACAAAAAAAATAAAAATAATACAGTATATCTTGTTTTTGTGAACAAAAAGGTTTTAAAAATTTTATTGCAAAATTGGTTTCGTATTAGAGTAAAAATTCAGGCTCAGGCGTAATTTAATGAAGGCTATTTTAGGGTCGATAGGCAACTGATAATTTCAGGTTACATATTTATGGTTTTTTCATTGTTACGAATCGTATTTTTCACATACGAATCGTATAAAAGCTAAATCTACAATTCTTTAATAAGAAATATGGTTTAATATTTTAGATTTTTATTTTAGTAAACGATTTCTATTTATAATTTAATCGTTGACAGTAATCGAAATATTCTATCATATGTATATGTACATATATACTTATGCCTATACCAAAATCTTTGTTAACCAATCGATCGATATTGAATCATCAATTTTCATTAACTCTTGTATAAATTAACTTAGTACGACATTTTATATTTAAAGGAATTTTAAAAGTAATTAGCATTTTATTTTTATACATGAACACCTACAGAAATTAATGTTAACACAAAAATGTATTAACAATATTATTTTAAATGTATTGTGGTATACTTTTAACACAAACTTTACGTAAATGACGTTTTCAATATTATAAATTATTAGTAATATTTTATATAACTATAGGAACTTGTTGTAATTGCATGTCATGAAAACAATAACTTGACAACAGTTAAGTGTACTACATGTATGTAAAAAGTCACATGAACAGCAACAGTAACAAAAATTAATAAATAAATAATATGTTACATATAAAATTACATATAAAATTAGTTGACATTTTAAGGAAAGGTTGTTTTTTATTGATTCGCTCAAAATCAATCAACGTCCGTATACATTTTCATATATGGCTAAAAAATATTTACATGTACATACTAAAAATCGTATAACGTTTTCAATGTATTTAAAAAAAAATATTTCGAAGAAAAAATTTTTCCCAAATTACAGTTAAAATTTAAAAGCATGTAGAGTTCGAAAACAATATCTGTCGCCTGCATATCTACTGAAAAAATACCAACAGGTTCTGATCAAATTTTTACCGTAATATATTCATATGCTAAAACTTTTTGTCATATTTTAATTAAATTTAAAAATATTAAATATTTGTATTTCGTTATTAGAAATTTTGTATGTTAGCCGAATTTCTTGCATATTCCACTACTTCAGGGGTTTTACTATGCGACTCGATTTGCGATTTTGGCATAAAATTGATTCGGTCAATTATATTACATTAACTTAAAATATTTCTTTAGTAACAAATTTATTTAATAGCTTAAGAAAAAATTTTCAATTTTAATTTAAATAAATCTTTTAATATTTTTTGCAATACAAAAAGAAATCAAAATTTATTCTTATTATTTAAATTTAATATTCAATGTACAATCAGTACAGAACATGCTTTTCTAAAACTTTTATAACTTCTAATTACTATTTGCTATTACATATAAATAATTTGTATTAGAAATGAAGTAATTATTCCAAACTCTAATTTAATATATTTAAAAGTTCATTGTAAACGTGTTAATATTCCTTGTATAGAATATTTATAATGGACAATTTTTTAGTTAGAATCAATAAACTTTATCACTGACCTTGAATACATGCATGAGACTATTGTGAACTTTGTGCAAGTAAGCCTGTAGCATGGGTAAGTTGTTAAACTGAATTTTACTTCTACTTTAAATTAGAATCAATAATATTAAGTAAGTCATATCAAAACGAAATATTTGTAATGAATGGTAACATAACGGTTATTCCTGATACTTTTACTATTATTACATTTTATAGTACTATACGTTACATATTGTTTCAAGTGCGAATAATATACACGCTATTATTTATGTTGTGTTTTATACGAGTACATATATAAAATTAAATAATATAATAAAATATATTAAGTAAATAATGCACAATATAATGTGACGTGACACAGTTAATAACAATTACGTGAATTGTTTTAGACTTCTTTATAAAAATCATTTTATAGAAAAAGGTATGTTCTCTTTTATAGAAATATATACCACACCATTTCGATAATTAATTTACATACTCATGAACGTACAATATATCAGCAAAATTGAATCAAAATCTACTTTTTTTGATGCTTTGAAGTTTTACTCTAATATATTCACAATAAAACCAAAATTGGAAAGGTTTCCATATTTTTATATAGTGCCAAATAAAAAATTCTTAAATATTTTTAGCAAAAAAAAATTCAATATTGAAATATTCTACTTTTTACAGTTTAGGCTTAAAAAAACACATATTTTAACTTTCAGGACTGAAACGAAGCTATATATTGATTTCATATGACAACAAGATAAAAATAGCATGCATACTACGATAACTTTCTTTCGGGTTTTTTTTTAATTTTTCATTTCGGCGAAAATTGAGAACGGAAGTATTCAGTTTTAGAATCATAAATAAAATATAAAAATCATTTTTTATTGTGGTTATAATAAAGGATTACGAAATATTCTCTTCTTATTTATATAGTTATCAAAATGATTAAACGTATGATTTTCAAATTAAACTAAGAAGGTAGTCTTACAAAAGCGACAATCTAAGATTTACCATAACAATGTACTATATTTATTCAGCTTTGGTCACATTCTAACGATTTTTATTATTCTAATATTTCACAGAATCAATGAATACATTGATACATTGATTCTAGTTGTGTGAAAAATTTCACAGATGTAATTCAAATCAATGTATAACAACTTCAGATCCCAATATTTTATGAATTTCAATTAAATTTGAAGAATACTCGTAGTTCAGAATCACTGTTCAACATTTTAGAACTTGTGTTTTATTATGCATGCATAAGCAGAATAACATGTTCTTTAATATTCTAATTTCATTATAATAATAGGAAATTTGTTTATAAATTATGTAAACCATCAATTACGCAAACAGGTTCTATAAGAAGAATTAATAAATATAATAATTTTTTATTAATGTGAAAGCGAAACTATGGGTGCGTTTAAATAAAATGTTAAGGAATTGTTTTTCATGCAGTATAAAATTCAAAAATTGATTTTATTTGAAATTTTAACATAAAAATTTTCCGTTTCCATTAAAATGCAAAGTCACCACACAACATTGACACATTAGTTGGTCGATTACATAAATATCAAAAACTGGTATTATTACAGGTTTTTGTGCATTTCTTCTTGCCAAATAAGCGCAATGTTTTAAGTATATTTTTACAATTCAAATGTTTTAGTTTTCGAATTTATTGGACGTATATGTTAAGTATTTATTGGGTAATTTTACGGTTATTCTCTATGAACTTATTTTAATTTTTAACTTACCATAAATACGTCTACGATGTGAAAGTCTATGATTTGTTCCAATATTATTATCATCATCAGAGTTCTCATGTGTATGGTATCGGTGATTATGATGTCGATTATGATGATGATGATGGTTATTGTTATATGGTCTTGGTCCAGTTTCATCTGGTACACAATGACCAATGACTATTCCCATATTTCTTTTTACTTTTTTGTTTTTGCAACGATCAGAATTTATAAGAGTTTAATATTTTTCACTTTATTACTGCCATTGTTTCAAAAGTTTCTTATTTCGCTACTGTTGTTTTGATTTTTATTTTATTATTTTATTAATTAATTTAATTTTTTAACATTAATTATTTATAAAACTGTCAAGCAGTAAGTAATTAAGATCAGATAACACGCATTGTAGTTCATTTATTTTATGTGCACTAAAACATTTTAATTTTTATCCAGTTTAAGTAAATTAAGCAAGTAATAGATAATCATATATGCATATAAATTACATTAATATTTAAACGAATCTCTTAATATAAAAACCTCGCTATCCACAATAAAAAATAAAAAGAAAAAAGAAATAAATGGCGAATAAAGAATTGAACATTGATGGGAGAAAATCGATTTTTCAAGGACGCACCACGTCACTGTCATTTTCTTTTTAAAAGAAATACATTTCTATTTCAGACTTTAAATATTAAAAACACATAAAAACAATTTTAATTCCTACAAAAAGGCGATTTCATAATTAATTGCTGACTTTATTTCTAGCATTCAATTCATGCCATCCGTCATTTTCTTATTCATTCCCTTATTCTTCTTTAATTTACGATCTTGAAATATTTTCGATATTCACTTTTTCAGGATTTTCAGGATTTACGTTTAAAGACAACATTATTGCATATCTTTAAATTAAATTTAATTTAATCATTAAGAAACATCTGCATCTTTTCAAATAAATTTTAATTTTCTGAATTAACAAAAACAATTTTAATTTTAATTGAAACATTGTCCAACTTTAAATATTTTGTTTAAATTCGTTCATAATTTAAAAAACCAGATCGCAATGAAACTTATTATTTTTGTTTTGATATTATGTGCTTTGGCAACTTTCCGGTATTTCATGAAGTTTTACGTCTGTTAGTGATTAGGTTAAGCAGTTTTTTTTAATACAGATTTTAAGAATCATCGAAAGACAAAGATAGGCGGACCAATAATGTCGTCGGATCTACCAATAGTGAGGGACTTTAATCGCACCTAAAATGCACCTAGAGTCATAAACTCCCAAAACAAGTCAAAAAAATATTTTAATTTTGATATTATGTGCTTTGGGATTTTCCGGTATTTCATGAAGTTTTACGTCTGTAAGTGATTAGGTTAAGCAGTTTTTTTAATACAGGTTTTAAGAATCATCGAAAGACAAAGATAGGCGGACCAATAATGTCGTTGGATCTACCAATAGTGAGGAACTTTAACCGCACCTAAAATCCACCTAGAGTCATAAACTCCCAAAACAAGTCAAATTAACTAACCATTAGTTTTGCTCTATAGTGTTTTGGTGACATTCCGTGAAGGAAGGCTGTCACTCTAGCACCGTTCAAATTCAATTGTGGTGGATTTACTAAATTTTTTTTATGAAATTTACGTGTAGAAATTTACTTTCATTTAGTTTTATTTTTATCTGT